AACATGTCATCTGTTGCATAACCTTAGAGGAGTTATTTGCATCACGTCAAACTATAGGCAGGCCCCTAACATGAATACTGATCGTGATTTCTGCATACAGACTAAATCTCAATTCATCTTTCTGAGGTTGTGAGATGAGCCTTAGGATTATTTTATCATCATTACGATTAATGATTATGTTCGCCAACCACTTGACCATTTTATATTGATAAGAACTAGTATCATATTCTAACATTTGGGTAGTATACTCAAAAAAATATTTATATTCATCACCTATAATAAATTCAACAAGTGATATAATAATCCACGGTTCGATGGTCATAGGGATGTATTTTTTAATCTCTTTTAATATAATATCTTTATCATCGTTGTTTGTATTATAAGTTAATTTAAGATAGCCGAGAAAATACCACTTCCTATATTTTTTTCTTAATGGCTCTCTTGCAAAAATGATATTCTTTAAAATGGTATTATATCTCTTAGATGAGAAAAATAAGTGTCTCCAGACAATAAAATCATCATCGATAATATTTTTTAGAATCTCGGATGGATAGGAAAGATAATCTATTTGAGTTAACAAATATAATATAGCAAGTCGTATTAAATAAATAATTGTATAAACCTGTACTACATAACTTTATTATAAAACCAAGGTTGACGATGATTTGATGTCAGTAATTTTTTTTAAATAAAATTAAAGTAATAACAACATGGATACTAATTATTCTGATTACAGGTTATGATTATTACAGTACGGGAATACAATCGGAGAAGTCTAAATATGTTTATTATATAAACGTACATATCGGAGATAATGTAGCAAGCTTTGCAAAAAACAAGACCATTTATGATCACCTTGAAGGGTGTGACTCCGAGGAACAACAGGAGTTGTGTGGTAAAGAGATCAAACGAATGATGACCTATTATGATAAGCTCTCTGAAGACTTAATTAAAAAAGACTCTGTTGTGCATATTTACATTGTTCTCCAACAAGAAAGAAAATACTGTGGCATGCGTTCCTTTGCTGAGATCCGTAAACCAGATTCTAGTAAGAGATTCGGGTTCACACGAGATGTTGAAGTCATAGCATCCAATGAAACCAGAGAAGGGGATATGAATAGTAATGATAAACCAAGTGATATCTTACCAATGGCATTGCTTACTTTCTCTGATACCCTTGAATCCATCGAAACCAATCCTCTTTTAGAAAGATACAGAGAAACAAATATTACTGGGTGCATATCAAACATCCAATGTCAGCCATATATTTTACCAGGGAGATTAATTACATAGACTTTTTTGGTTGTAACAGCAAGAATGGTGGAGAATTAAAATACACTGATACTATAGAAAACATACATGCTCAACTCAAAAAACATGTTAGTGTGATCAAAGGTGATATTGATTTTTATGAGCAGAAAAACGATATTGATAAAGCCACATTAGCATTTTTCAAGGAACGTTATGCATTTGTATCTGATCTAGCATGGCTCAGTAATCATAAAAAAACAAAAAAATATACCAAAAAATCATTGGTTGGAACCAATATCAGCACTTTTGTTAGTAATCGACCATCTAAACATATCAGGGAAATTGTAGATATTGAAAATGAAAAAGAGGTCCTTTGGAATAACCAAACAAAAAAACCAAGAAGAAAATAATAATATTTATATATTTGCTTTTAACATGATTTATTATCAATAAAGGTTTAAATAAAAATATCAATAGTAGGGTGTGGCGACTTAGTGAAGTGGTGAAGTTGTCACACCCCCAAGCGGTTGAGTACAAGTTCAATTCCCACTGAAG